CAAGCAAGATAAGTTTTACGGTCTCGATTACCTCCACTTGTTATCAGCACTCTGTATTCTTTCACTAGAGGATATATATTAGGCATTAAATTTGTGCTTTGGAAAAGCAGAGATTATATGACTGCTTGAGTCTAAGTCTTAAAATTTTGAAATAAGACTAATCTCAAATATTTTTACACAGTGAATTGGAGTATTGAAGTAATTATTTTATCCAAAACAAAATTATTTTGCCTAAAATATTCAGTTATTAAAGTAAAAGCATTGTTCTGGACTGAATTCTCCAGATAATCCTACTTTTGGCAACGAGTAACAGAAAACCAACTTAAATGGGCTTAGACAATAAACACATTTCCTGGCTCATATATCTGGAATTCTAGAGTTACAGCAGGGTTCTGGGTTGGCCAGACTCAGGTCTCAACAATCCCCTCAAGCCACGGTGTTCCCTCTCCCTATGTTCCGCTGACAGGGTGGCTTTGTCTTTATACTGGTTCTCTCCTGAGTGTAGGATGGCTGCTATGATCTATTTGAGCCCACCATTTCCTCATTAATTCCCTGAGGGAAGAGAGAGAAGATTCCTTCAGGAACTTCTGACATAAGAGCAATGAAAGACTTTCCCAGAAGCCCTTTTCTCATTGGTTCAAATTAGGTCACATGTCCATCTCTCATTGGTTCAAATTAGGTCACATGTCCATCTCTCATTGGTTCAAATTAGGTCACATGCCCATTTCTCATTGGCTCAAATTGGGTCACATGTCCATTCCTCATTGGTTCAGAATAAGTCATATGCCTGGTCACTGGCACAGAGGGTATAATTACCCTTAGATAATCAAGCCTGCCCCTACAACTGGAAACAGAGTCAGCGCCCCTGAGAACATGAATTGATGAATTGTGTATATGGGTGTGTGTGTGTTTGTGTGTTTGTGTGTGTGGTGGGTATGGTGGGAGTTCTATTAAGAAAGAGAAAGGGAGACTGATACTGAGTCAACAACAAAAAAGTCGGCTATTTTTTCCTTGTTACAAAAGTAACATAGGTTTAAATTTTAATTTTAAGAGAATATTTGTAACCAAAAAGAAGAAAGTAAAAACCACCATAATCCCACTGTCCTGTGAGAACCATTAGTGAAATGATAACAAGCATACTTTTAAACAATAAAATAAATATTATATTCTGCATACTATAGACACAGTATAGGATAGTGGTTAGCAAGACAGACTTAGGTATCAATATCCTGGCTCATCAACTTACTGTCTGTTAGTCCTCACTGGGTAAGCTACTTAGCTTTCCTGTGCCTCAACTTCTTCCTCTCTGTAATGGAAATAAGAGTAGTATCTCTATATAAGTTCCTCCAGCACTAACCTTCTAGTTCACAGATCGGCAATCTACAGCCTGTGGGCCAGACCTGTTTTGCTGCCTGTTTCTGTAAACAAAGTTTTATTGGAGCCCAGCCACAGTCATCCATTTAGTATCCATCTTTGGCTGCTTTCACACTACAATGGCAAAGTTAAATAGTTCCAACAGAGACCTTGTAGCCCACAAAACCAAAAGTACTTACTCTCTTGCCCTTTACAAAAAAGTTTGCTGACCTCTGGATTAGACCATCAGATCACTATTGTCTTGTCAAAAATCTAACATGTCATGTTAACCAGCCTAGAGATTTGATCAGGAAAAAGTGACATCTGCAGAGCTAATATGAAGGCAAGAGATACTCAGTTATTTTATCACTTAGAAACAGTTAAGAACCACGAATAATTGAAAAATCTACAAAGGTGTTTAAATGTTAAATTATCTCCCTGAATTCACAAGAGATTTTGAAATATGTGATGTAAGATTTCCCTCAAACTCTGGGATGTTGCCAGTGGGGCCTGAATGAAAGTGAACTTGTTCAGAGTCTTATCTAGTGGATAGAAATCATAGCCATAGGCAGAAAATAAGAAGATTGGAGAGGAAATAAAGGGGAGTCCATAATAAATTGTTGTGAATATTGCTTTTGAAAAGAAAAATAAAGATTGTCGCCATCTGTGTGGTCTGGGTGAACAGTGGTGCAGCTGTGTAGACAAGCAGAGTTATGAGGGACTCCCTGGAGAGAAGAGAACCCTCTGGGATGAACATGACCGAGCCAACACCAGTCTGAATTGTGGAAAAGCCCTAAGTGAGAAGAAAAGAACCATTGGAATAAATGATCTGTCCATGGAGGAAAACTGCCCTCCTGTTATGTGTGGTTTTAATCTTGAATTTAAAGATCTTCAAAATCTAAATTATTTTAGTCAAATCTAATTTATCTGAATTATTTTAGTCAAATATGACTTTTCCATAAAACAGTGTTTTAACTGAAGATTATATTTTTGGTCAAGTGTATAATGTTCTTTTTTAAAAATCTATAGAAGTGACCATCAACTACACAGAAGTTTTCTAGAATAAAAAGCTTTCTATATATTTGGTAATGTAGTGTGGGGATTAAGAACAGAAGATCTCTATCAACTGCCTGGTTTCAAATCCTGTCTTGGCTACCTTCCTGCTATTTAATGTCCTAAGCCTAGTTTTTCTTATTTATAAAATAGGATTAATAAAAGTACTAACTTTAGAGAGTTTCAATGAGAATTAAATGAAATAATTCATATAAAGTACTTAGCCCAGAATCTAACAAATATTATACATGCTGTAGAAGCTAGCCATTTTAATGTGGGCAATATATAGAAACTAATTGTGAAAAATGTTTTGGTAACCAACCATATAATAATATATTGTTATAACATACTAAGTTCTTGTCTTCTGCTGTTGGTATGCCTGCCTTATTTTTGGAGCAGCAAAGGTAAAGGTAGGTAAGAAAAAAAAAATCTTTCATTGGGGTCTTAGAATTTAGAAGATTAGTTCAGGGAACATTTTAAGAGGTGTTGTATTAGTTAGGGTATAGGTCAACTTCTTGCTGAAACAGAGACCAAAAAATATAAGTGGCAAAACAGAGCAAAACGTCTTTCTGTCTAACATGCCCACCCAGAGGTGAGTGGCCCAATACCAGAGGGTGACTTTGCTCTGTGAGGCCCTCCTGGACCCGGGTTCCTTGTCTTGTTTCTCCACTATCACCTGTAATAGGTTGTATGGTTGAAGCTGGTTCACCAGCATCTTCTTTTTCCATCTCTCGGGAAGAGGAGGACAGTGAACATAGAGCAAGCCATTGCCTTTTTAAAGGATGGGACCCAGAACTTGTACACATAGCTTCCACTCCCACCTCATTGCTGAGATCTTAGTCACAGAGCCACCCATAATTTAAAGACAGGCTAGAAAATGTGACTTTAGTTTGGCAGCCATGTGGCCAACTAAAAGTCAGTGGATTCTGTTTTCAAAAGGGAGAAAGAAAGAATGGATGGTGGAATCAATTAGCATTGATTGCCGTTAAAACTACTATTCCACAAGCATTGCCATGAAAACTACTATTGTTTCATTGACTCTAAGACACATCATCATTTTATGTACCACTAAGAAAGAAAAACCATGCTATTGAAACTGTGACACATTGCTTTCTTATCAGCTCAGTTGTAGGACACATCCCAATTTAAGAAATGTTAAAATGTGAAAAATATGTGTCTTGGTATAGAAGAAACACAGTATTGGAAAGACTTAGGAAAAGACAGTGATCTAAAGACACCCATTTTGCAGTTTTCTTTTGTGCGTGCAACTTTCCCAGGAGCAAGCATAAGCAGGAGATATCAAGCTTTCGTTGATGCATTGAGTGTAACCTTTAGAATAGGTGATTGACAAGGTCCTATCAGTGTGAATTTATTCTCAGTCAAATTCTTGTGACTGTTGGTAGAGACACTTTTGGCTCAAAGGCTTGGGGAAATTTTGCCTAGATTTCTAGTCAATCTGGGTCAGATCTGGAGTTGAGTAAACAGACAGTAGGCATCCTGTCTTTACTAGTCAAGATTCTCACTTAATAGAAGAGCAAAGACTGAGGGCAACACTCTGAGGAACAGACATGGCCAGGGCACTTGACTTCTTGTTTCAACATTCAGTCATCACCCAAAAAAGTGTTGAACACCAGGCACTTTGCTCGGTGCTAAGATCCAGTGTCCGCTCTCCCAGACCTCCAGAGCTCAAGGAGGGAGAAAGAAGTAGGCCCATAAGGGCACACGGTTGTGTAGGTGTGATGATAGAAGCTGCTGAGTAGAGGCGCGGATCGGGAGTCATCAGTTCTCCCTGAGGTTAGGAAAGGTCTCCCAGGGGAGGTGAAATCAGGACTGTGAGATCTAAGGGCTCTCCAAGCAGAGGTAACAGAATGTGCAAGCACATGGAAATGTGAAACACTTGTCACTGCAGGGGGTTGTGTTGTGATTCCTTTGACATGCTAGACTGGAGCAGCTGTGGTTATGGAGGGTTTGCTGTTTAAGTTTGTTTTTTTATCGTGCATTATACATAGTAGGCAAACTGCAATATTGGTTTAATTGAACTAAAGAAAAGACCAACTTGATGACCGCATAGAGATGATCTGAAATTTCCTGGATCAAAAAGATGCTAGATTCCAGTAAATGGACAGAAGCAAAATGATACCTTTGGTGCCATGCTTGCTCTTAAACTTAACATTACTCTATCTTATTTGTCAACATCAGGTTTGAGGATTTAATAGATAAAGAAACACTTGTTTGGATCCCACCTGCTTTCACCACTTTTACGCGTATTTTCTCCAATTTAATAAATGCACAAATGAATTTTACACATCTTTTTTCCTTGTTTACTTAGAGCAGTTTAGCATACATTTTACTGCTGATATTAGCCTAAGAATAGATTCTCAGTGCAGCAACCACATCTTTGTGAATTTGACCTATTAAAAAGGCTAGAGGAGCAAACTTTTCATTCTCAGGTTTTAAGATGTAATAGTGAAAGAGCCTGGCCAGGTCAGTAAGATCATTTGATTTGGTAGCTTTGAATCTGGTCAGTGACAAATCTATAATATGCAGATGTTTCTTGTTGTCTATTGCTACTGAAATCTGCTTCTCTTACATAGATCACTGTTACAGATGAGGAAGTTAGTAATCCATCCTTTTTAGATCTGGTGAGGACTCCCCAAATGAGGAAGTGCACACTTATACTTATGTTTGCTTGGTAAGTTTGACTTGTGACGGATTCAAAAGCTTGTGTCAAATTTACAACGCACCCCTTTCTGCAAGTCAGGTTGAAGTTATCTTTTACTTGTTCTCCGTTGTCTTTCAATGTTGCTCCAGGTTCACGAGTGCAGTGGTTTACCAAGGACTCGTCATGCGCCTGGGAATTCTAGGAGGCAACCTTTATATAGACTTTTTCATCTCAGGAGTCGTGGAACTGCCAGGAGCTCTCTTGATCTTACTAACCATTGAGCGTTTGGGACGACGCCTTCCCTTTGCAGCAAGCAATATAGTGGCAGGCGTGGCATGCCTTGTCACTGCTTTCCTACCAGAAGGTAATTGTCCTCCAAGTCTGTTTGGCAGCCAAGAACTTGAAAAAAATCTTAAATCAAAATAATCAAGAATGGGGAACCTCTTGTCCTTAGAAAATGTACCATTGCCCCAAAACCTTGGTAGCAGACATGCTCTCGTGGTGTCACTCAATCTTCTGCTTAATCAGTATAACATTTTGTATAAGACATTGGTTCTATAGATTTTTCTATTTTCTCCATTCTTACATTTATTTGGATGAAATAGATGTGTGAAATCTAGCTCGTGGTGATATGGTTTACTCTTGATCACTTTTATCTTACTTTTGTGATATCATTGACGTTATTTGACATATTTCTCGAGTATCTGCCGTGTTGCTGGCCCATGTGAAATACTGAGGTTACACAAGGAAGAAAGCCACGGTTTTTGACTTCAAAAGGTTGACAACCTAGCAAGGGATATAGACACTTCAATGCTCTCACTACTCACTGTAATAAGTGAAATAATAGAATTATTTACAGGATTCAGAAATAGCAAAAGGAAATAGGTGGAGAGAGTGATTCTTCCATGGCGGGTAGTTAGGGAAAGCTTCCCAGAGGTGAGAACTAGGCATGGATGAAGAAGGAAATGTACCAGACAGAAGAGAAGGGTGGGAGTGATTTTTCCAAAGGAGAACATAGTTCCCAGAAGGATGAAACACCTTTAACGGTCCAGGAACCAAACATTCTTTGTTATTGCTAGAGTATCCAGGCAAGGAGGCTGAGGGATGTCTGTCACCAGTGGTGATTGGTCTCACAGGCCATGCCAGCAGCTTGGGCATGGTCTTGTGAGCTTCGGGAGGAGGAGAAGGGGGTGGCCTCCCTGTAGCTGCAGCAGTTTGGACAATGGCAATGAGGAGAGAAAGATGCTGAGAGCAGGAATTAAGGTCATGGCAGTCGGACCTGGATGGGAGAGCTTGATTTCAGAGATGTTTCAGAATTAAATTTTGGAAGGCTTGATGACTGGCACATGGTACAGAGGTTGCAGGTAACTCCAAATGCACTGTTAACACACCCCAGATTATCTCTCTTGTAGAACACAGCAGGCACTGGACAGAGCAAGCCTTTCAAACTCCCAGGGAACATGTGAGTTAGAGCAAGTCAATTATTTCCATGTTCCAGGGGGTGTGCGATGGGGGTTACCTGAGGGCTGGATTCTCTGGTAGTCTTTTGTGTCAGCACAAGAGAGGCCGTCTTTTTCTTTTTCTTTCTTTCTTCCTTTCTTCCTTCCTTCCTTCCTCCCTCCCTCCCTCCCTCCCTCTCTCTCTCTCTGTCTTTCTCTCTGTCTGTCTTTCTGTCTGTCTTTCTTTCTCTCTCTCCCTCCCTCCCTCCCTCGCTCTCTCTCTCTCTCTCTCCCCCTTCCTCCCTCCCTTCCTTCCTTTCTTTCTTGAAAATCCTCTAAGAATCAGGAAATAACTGATAATATTGTGGAAGTGAGAACAGTCAGATATTTACAGATGAGTTTATTAATTATATGAAGGTTTATGAAATCCCAAAACATCAGATAGACCTTATTTAAATAAAATTGCAGATATGCCTATCCTCACAATAGATTAAAAAAAAAAAGATGTCAAGTCCTCTGTCTGTCATATTGGAATGGTTGATGACAGACAGAACAGACTATTTGCATTTATCTCATTTTTCTTGAGTGTGTTAGTTTCCCAGGGCTGCAATAACAAAGTACCACAAACTGAGTGGCATGAAACAACGGAAATTTATTCTCCACAGTCCTGGAGGCCACAAGTCTGAAACGAAGGTGTTGGCAGGTTCACGCTCCCTCTGAAGGCTCTAGATGAGGATCCTTCCGTGCCTCTCCCTAGCTTCTGCTGGTTGCTGGCAGGGTTGGTTCCTTCCAGAGGTTCTGGGGGAGAATCTGGTACATGCCTCTCTCCTAGCTTCTAGAGGATGCCAGCAATCCTTGGCATTGCTTGGCGTCACTCTGGTCTCCGCCTCCATCTTCACACGACCTTCTCCTCTCTGTTTCTCTATGTCTTAACTATTACATATGCAAAGACCCTATTTTGACATAATGTCACGTTCTGAGGTTCTGGCTGGACATGAATTTTGGGGGATACTATTGAACCTGCTACATTGAGTTAGCACGTTCTAAGAGTTGAGAAATCTCTATAATAGATATCAGTCAATACATGTCTATTTAGTATCTATTAATTGTCCCCACTAAACTAGGATGGGGGATAGGGTGGTGAACAAGATCGACATAATTCCTGTCCATGGAACCTTGGTACAATTTAAGTAGAAGGGTGACATATTGGGAACATTGGAGACTTCACTGTTCTTTCCGTTTTACTTTGGCACTGTATCGTTTCTAGTTTAATTTAAAAATGTGGTTTCCTAAGATGAGGTCTTCTGTTCTCATCACATATGGAATAGGAATTAAGTATTCATTGCATGTGAAGTTAGGAAAGTGGGGAGAAAGATTAATGACTTCAGCGTGACCCATCATTTCATGAATGTATACTTTACCCTAGAAGATTTTCTCTGGCCCTGACTGATGGGGATGATTTTAATGTGTGCTGCACACAGTATGACCCCAGAAAGCATTCAAGACCACATGTCCAAACCAATGTTGAAGTAGCTAGGTGGGTGGGAATCAAGGTGTTTTGTAGAGAACACCTTCCTATATTGAAAAATATAAGGCAAAGAATAGACTTCTCTGCTTGGTCTGATCAGTATTATTTTGTAGATATAATTTCTTTCTTTTTTTTTTTTTTTGTGAGGAAGATCAGCCCTGAGCTAACATCCATGCTAATCCTCCGCTTTTTGCTGAGGAAGACCGGCTCTGAGCTAACATCTATTGCCAATCCTCCTCCTTTTTTTTTTCCCCAAAGCCCCAGTAGATAGTTGTATGTCATAGATGCACATCCTTCTAGTTGCTGTACGTGGGACGTGGCCTCAGCATGGCCGGAGAAGTGGTGTGTTGGTGCGCGCCCGGGATCTGAACCCGGGCCGCCAGTAGCGGAGCTTGTGCACTTAACCACTAAGCCACGGGGCCGGCCCTATAATTTCTTCATTTAAGCTTTAGAATTGATTTTTAGCAATATTGAAAGCTAGTGGCTCTCATTCCGGACACATTTTATGTATATTTTCTGTAGATTCGGCTGCGTTTATAGTCACATGTCGATCATGATTGACTGGCAAGAATAATTTCAAATCCCTACTGCTCTGTGTGAGCACCAGATAGTAACAGAGGTTCCTCACTTGAGCTGACAGGCCTTATTTCGAACTTAAAGGAGCTTTTGGACTTGGTTGCTGGGCTGTTCAGTTAACATTAGAAAGACTTTTCCTCTCCGTCACTCTTGACGTCATCAACAGGATGACAGTCCTTGTGGAGAATGCTGATTGGCCTTTAAGAGGAACCAGCTCTAAAATTATCTCACAGAAAACAGTTTAACCAGCTTTTCCTCCACTAAGCACAACTTTTCATGGTCTGAAGAATGAGATTCTGGAGAACGAAATAGTCTTTCTGGCTATATTCTCATCGAAGACTCACTGCTTTTGACCCAAATTTTTAAACTCTCACTAAAGTCTGAAAAGTAAAGAGCTTTCTTTATCCATCCCCATCTGCCATCTTTAATTTGAGTTTATTTAGGATGGCTACAAACCTAGCATTTTTGGTAAGTCTTCTTTTTGAAATGAAAAGTAGTCTTTTATTTCTCTTTAAGTGAAAACTGAATCCATGTATCTTAATTTCCATATCTCTCTTGGGCATTTTCGCTAAATTTTATTTTCAAACTCAGAACAGATGGTACATTCAGAGGAGCTACAAAATTGTGTTTATTTAAAATCGTGCATCTTTTCTTCAAAAATTGAGTTATTATTCCCAATAATCTGTACTAGCTTGACCAAATCTCCATTCAGAGGGACCCTCTTTCTCTGTGTTCTCATGACTTCATGGAAGACAGTTTCAGCTTCAGTACCCATTTTTAAATTGTCTTGTAGGTTTTTTTGTCATTGTTACCAAAAGATGTCTATTGCCACTCCAAGATGAACTTAGCGTATTACGGGGATGATCAAAAGTTTTTGTGTGCGTACGTAATATTCACACATCATTTACTCCTCCTAGTAAATTGTTTTCATTTTATTCTTTAGTGAACGAACAGTGCACTGCCTTTGGGACTTCTCTTTTGTTACACATTTCAACAAAATCTCTGTCCCAGTGTAGCTAGATACTGGCGTCTATTGACTGGGACAAGTTGAGAGTCTCTTAGATTAAGGTCAGCACATAGGATCGACCATGTCTCCTCAAGGGTGTCAACTTGACAGCATTTTCTGAACGTTTTTCTGAATTGACTCGTTATTTATCTGTGTTCACTAGCTAACCACATATGTTTTTCATGACGTGTGTGTGTGTGTTTTAATTTGGTGTCTTGGTTTTCATTTGGTTCTTTCCAGCAAACAGTCTTAGCCTCAGTTGTAAACTTAAGCTGTCATTGAAATTTTCAGTGTGACTCACTTAAAGAGCACTCTTGACTCAGTAGAAAAAAACTATAATTTAGGAACCTAACATGGATAATCTAGTTATTTCCACGGTAGCACGCAGCATTCTTTGCAGCCTGAGAACAGCGAGAGGTTGCCCAGTTGGGCTGGGAGCCAGGGAATCTGGGCAACGGCTCCCACTTTCCATTCCCCGGCACCTGGCACTGCACCACCTGCTCATTGAAGGAAGGGGTGGAATGCATTTCCTAGTCCCCCTCCCTGGCCTTAATGAAAAAATAAAGCCTAAATAAAACACATGTTTACAACCGTTCAACGCCAGAGCAGATGGCAGCCCAGCGCATCAGCGTAACTCCACTATTCCTCACTCCGTGATGTAACTGTTAATGTGAGAGCTACAGGTGTTCTTGTCTGGGGAAAACATCAAGTTCACAAGGACATCCTTGGCCAGTTTGAAATCAAAATATAGTGAACTGGGGTCTCCCAGCAATAATCTGGATTCTTGAACCATCTTTTTCTCTGCTTGCCCTCCTAGGCAATTGTTTTATGTAGTGAGTTTTAGCTTTTTTTATTTGTTGAATATTCTTTAGAGAGAACATGGACAAATATACCAAGTTTGAGTCTCTTCCTTCATCCTCCTCATTCATGCCTACTTTTCTACTAAAAAATTATATATTCGGGAGAGTGCAATTATTTTCCTAGAAGACAAGAGGACCACTTAGTGCTGAGTGATCATAAATAAGCATGACTAGCAGAAGGAAAGCTTTCAAATATGGAAGTCAGACATTGCTGAAGGTCCTTAGCTTTGCTTCGGAGAGCAGGTATGCTCTTGTTCGTGCACTAATATGTCCTCACACCAAGTCCACTAGGAAGGGATGGCATCAATGGCACAACTCTTAAGAAATTTAGAGCACTGCTTTTTAGAGCAAAAATAATTTACTCCCTTTTCCCTTAAAACACAAAAGAAAGAAAATATTTAATAAAGAGCATTTGGTATTTTCTACCAGTTACGATGGAGGAAAGGAGAGTTTCCTCATACAACCAGAGTAGCCCTAAAACAGTTCATTTCAAAATGAATGAACCAACTAGTGTTTAAGAATCTGCCTCCTTCTAGATGATTTCTTGGGGGAAATAGCAAGATTGGGGATTAGGAAGACAATGAATGACATACACCATAGTGATGACACATGGCATAAATGTCCCCTTCCAAAGATCCCAGTCCTCGAGGCCTTGCTATTCTCTGGAAACCAAAGTCAGCTTCATGTCCAGATTTCCCCTGGTCTGTTGGGAACAGCTATTCTGTGTGTTATCGCTATGGAGTATGAACAGAGAGGACAATTGGGTACCAGACTTTGGTGATGGTTTTCAAGGACACAGGCGAAGACCGCCTTCTAGACAAAAGGCCAGTGTACTCAGACCCTCTAGGAGGGCAATGCCTGGAACATTGTTTTCAGCGTAGTGGCTGCTCAATAAGTGGTTCTGGGATTGTATTCAGGAAATCTAACCTACTCAGAAAGGCAGCTAGTACACTAAATCTCAGCTGTCTTGCTGGTGGTGGTTGTAGCTCTTGAAATTTGGCTACAATATTAGAAGGTATCTATCATTTGGGCTAAAAAATTAGCAAAGACTTAGGACTGGGAAAACATTAAGCAAATGCCTTTGGTTGTTTTGTCGTATTTCCTTGAAAGCAGACCCCTAACTCTTTCTTCCACACTTTCTGTGTTTGCAGGAATACCATGGTTGAGGACCACAGTTGCCACCTTGGGAAGACTAGGGATAACCATAGCCTTTGAAATTGTTTATTTGGTAAATTCAGAACTGTACCCAACAACATTACGGTAATTCCAAAATATATGTCCTGGTTTCTCCTAAGTAATTCTGCAGCCAAATATTTTGACGTAAAAACCATGAAATATTTTCCTTAGCTTGCTGATATATTAGCCTGGGCTGAATTCAGCTGTAAAGAATATGCTTTGTGTTGTAGCTGCTTTCTGCATTGCTGTCTTCTGCAGTTTATGATAGAAGGGTTTCTCATATCAATATCTTTATATGCAGCCATGGTTTTGTGGAATGGCACTAGACTTGGAATCAGAAAATCTGGTTAGTGCACTTGCTTAGATGTGGGTTAAATATGTCTTCATCAGCTACAGCCTCTGTTCTGACCACAATCCTTATCTTGCAGCTGCGAGCAGCTGATTAATGAAGGACAAAATGAAATAGTGTGCACGGACTAATACAAGTTGGCCTCGTTTCCTGGGGGAATATTCATGGGCACACCTTACTGTCAAACTAGGGTGCCAAGGTGACACCTGTGTGTCACAGAGTGGGCTGGATAGTGAGCTGTTGACGGAAGAATGATTTCCCCCGACACTGTAGACCTCACTGTCCTCGCTGTGACTCAGCATTTACCCAGATGTGAGATGCTACAGAATGGAAATGGTTTGCTTAGAGTATGAGGGTAGTAGTTTTCAAAGTTAAAAGCTGTGGAAATGGAAAATATTGTTACAATTTCTTTGTTACGTGTATATCTGAATATTTCACTTATCTTGAATTTATTTAAATATTTTTCGTGTAAAACAACTTTTTATTCTGCAGCAACTTTGGAGTTTCTCTCTGTTCGGGTTTATGTGATTTTGGGGGCATCATAGCCCCGTTTCTACTCTTCCGGTTAGCAGCCGTCTGGCTGGAACTACCTCTTATCATCTTCGGTAAGAACTCATTGTATGTACGATTCTTAAATGCTTTCCTCTACAGTCTTTGCATTAATAGAACTCTACAATGGTTATTAGGTTGATGTTAATGATATCCATTTAATCTTTTTGTGACAACTGTTTCAGTTCTGAGGAGCCAATCTGATTACAATCAAATGTGAAACCCTAAATGATCTTAATTGACTTTATATTAAAGGGTTCTGATGAGCAGTGTTGAATTTGGCTTTCTTTGTTTAGGTTCTGAGTTAAAATCAAATACTATGAAACTCTTTTATGATGTTGGGGAACAGAACCACTAATTTTCAGGGGACCTGATTGGATCTTCAATATGTTTAAAAACAAGCCTAAAAACTGATTGTGTTGTTAAATGCTCTGTATCTGTCAATATCATATCTTCATTTGCTTTGATGCTGAGCGTGCTATGCTGACAGAACAGAGGACACAGGATCCCTTGCACATGTGCCATCACCTCTTTGATGCCCCTCTAGTTCAAGCCTCCTTCCTGTCTCCAGACTTTGTAGAACTCACGAAGGAGTAGAACCATAGTGTAGGGAGGGACCTTAGGGTAATTCAGTCCAGTGTCTCTCAAACGCTGTTCCAACCTTTCTACCTGGATCTCACACCTCCCCACCGTCCTCAGCAAGAAAGGATACAGGTTGGCCCCTTTCTCACCTACCTTTCTTCTACCTCCACTTCCTTACTCCCAGTAGAGAATGTTTTTCATTCATTGCTCAGCAGTTTAAACTACAATGAAAATATCAAGTCCATGAGGATATACATCCTGCATAATGCAAAAATCCTTTAACGGTGCTAGCTAGGGACAGCAGAGTCAGCTTCTGAACATTTGACATCAGTCAATTCAATGAGAGATCATCTCAAATTATTTCATGGGATCTGATACACGAGCTCAGCTTTGATTCTGTGGCCAGCATGAAAAAGCAAAGAGTGCTATTGTTCAACCAAGACAGAGTGGTCTAGGAGCCAATCATTCAAGATGGCAACCTGGCCTGCAATGAGTGCTGGTTAAATTGGGCAGTGGTGCCATCGTGCAGGCCCTTCCTTCACAGAGAGAGCCAAATTTCCACACAATCAGTCACAATAGAGTGTGATAAATGCTGAAAGCAAAGGGGGCTGTGAAAGCCCATCACAGGGACCCCTGACCCAGGTGAGTCAAGGAGAGAAAGTCAGAAAGGAAGGAAGCAAAGTCTAGGTTGCAATCTGAAGAGGAGTAGAAATTATCCACGTGAAAAGTGAGGGCTGGTACTCCAGGCAGTGGGAGAGCCAGGAGCAAGAGGAAGAAGCTGTTCTCTGGCAGCAAGGAAGTTCAAGTACGGAGTATAGTGTGTGAGGTGGGGCCTGAAGAGAGATGAAGCTGGGCGGGTAGGCTGGGCCCGATCACGTAGGGTCTTATCTGATGTGTGAAGGGTCTGCTCTTTATCCAAACTGCAGTGGGAAGCTAGTGAAGAGTTTGAAGCTGGGGTTGACAGCATTAGATCTGCGTTTTAAAAATATGACTGTGACAGCACATGTGCAAATGAATTGGAGGACAAGACTAGTGTGACACAATTAAAAGAATGTTGTTGTAATCAGGTAAGAGATCGTAGAGGCTGGGTTTAAGGTGATAGTGGGAATGGAGAAGAGTGGATAGATTCAAGAAATATAGTCATGCGCCGCATAACATTTTGTTCAACGATGGACTGCGTATACAACAGTGGTCCCATGAGATTAGTACCATAGAACCTAGGTGTGTATTGGCTATACCATCTAGGTTTGTGTAAGTACACTCTCTGATGTTCACACAACAATGACATCCCCTAACGACACATTTCTCAGAATGTGTCCCTGTCATTAAGTGACACGTGGCTATATATTAGAAGTAAAATTGTCAAGACGAGATGATTGACTGGGCAAGGACCAGACGGAGCGGGGAGATGGGAAGCCCAGGCTCCTGGCTGGGAAAACTGTAGATGACGGCCAGGCCTTAGTTTAGTGAATGCCAGAGGAGCAGGCCTGCAGGAGGATGTGGAGGGATTCTGTTTGGGCCGTTTAGAGTATGAGATACCTGTAAGAAATCCAAGTCAAAATCATGAGAAGCCAGTTTCTCTGGTGAGCTGAGCTCAGCAGGGAAATGCGGCCCAGCAGCAAAGATTTGGAAGCCATCTGAATGTAGATAACCATCGAGACTGTGGGAGTGACTAAGACCCCCAGAACATAGGGCAGAGTGAGAGGAAAAAAGAGGGCCCAGGCCACAGCCCTGAGGAGGGAAAAAGCATCAGGCATAAGCAAAGGGAGAGGAGCTGGCCAAAGAGCTGAGAAGGATTCGAGAAGAGTAGGAGGGAAACCAGGAAGCGTGGAGCGGGGGAGCCAGCGGAGGGCGGGCGTTCACCAGCAGCCAGTGCTGCCGCGAGGCCAGGCAGCAAGGACAGAGAAGCAGTGCCAGTGGATCTGGTGGCGAGTGGCAGCTGGTGATCTGGCTGGAGCAGGGCCAGGGAGGACACTGGGCAGGACCCAGATGAGAGCAGGTGGAGGTGGGATTTGACTCGCAGTGGTCCTGGAGCTGGCTTGCACCGGCCTGCCAGGGCCAATTGTTAAGTTTTCAAGAATTTTTGAGCCAGTTGTTAAACACAGCCATCATTAAACATTAAATATATAAAATATATTAAAAACAGAGGTAGTAAATACTCATGACTCATCAGTTCCTAATTTATTTACATTTTACTATTATGGAAATTCTATGTAACAGAATGCCACTGCATATCTCTTCCCATTGCCTCATTCAGTGATGTCATGCTGATACTTGAAATGTCCGTGGTGAGGGTATTTACACCACGGAAATTGGCAGATGCTACAAATCAGGGCTTTATTTTCTGGAGAGCTGGTTGGTAAACATTTACCTGCATACCACTAGGATATGAAGATTTGTAGAACATAGGAGAGGACAGTGTTTTAAGAATTTCAGCTCTAAAGAAGGGCTAAAGGGAGGATGGTAACTAGAGGACAATGTGAGGTGGATAGAAGAGTCCTTAAAGATGGAGGATTTGAGTATGTTCCCGTGCTTCCACCAATGGGAGAGAGAGGATTAATCACTAGGGTGAGGAGCCCAAGAAGCCTCCCAGAGATGGTGCTTGGGCAGAAGTGGGGTCAAGTCTTACACTGTAACACGACAGGAGGAGGAAAGGGAGGGAGAGGGTGCTGTGAAGGTCTAGTGTCAGTAAAAGGAAGCTGAGGGGATTCCCCTCTGGTGAGGAGTAAGAGGTAAGGTCTTCTCTGCGTGTTTGTCACTTAATAGGCACTCAGTAAATAGTTGTTAAATGAGTGAATGAACAAACGTATGCCAGGAATACCGGGGCAGTGGGACTGCACAGGGTTTGAGGAAGACAGAGAGCCCTTGAAATGGTGGCCAAGGAAAGCTGGAGGGCTGGTTAGGGTGACCACAGGGTTGCTGCTGTTGAGGGCTGGTTAGAGTCAGTGAGCACATGGCCTCCAGAGTGAGCGGGGAGGGACAGGAGGGGGTGTTGTGTGTTCCTGGTGTGGTAACGCCTTTCCCTGTCCCGTAGGCATCCTGGCATCTGTCTGCGGGGCTCTCGTGATGCTTTTGCCTGAAACCAAGGGTATTGCCTTGCCAGAGACAGTGGATGATGTAGAAAAACTTGGCAGGTATTGTAAACGATTCAGCGCGTCCTAAAGAAAAGCAGTATCTCAAACCCCTGGGGAAAGAATGGTATTGAGAAAATTGAATACCCATGGGGAAAAAATAATATTAAATCTCCATCTCCCAGCCTTAACAAAAAGTTCAAAGTAGATTTAAAAGGTTAATGTAAAAAAAAACGCACAAAGCTATAAAAGTATATGTATTATTTTTTAAATGTGGTTATGAGGAGGAAACATTTCCAAGTGAAGTGTTAAAACTCAAAAGCAATCTAAAGGAAAAGAATTGATGATTTGACAAAGTAGAAATAACTTAAATGTGCATCAATAGGAAACTGATGTGAAAATGATCATATATTCATAATATGGATTAGAATACAGAGATTAAAAGAATTGAGATATGTCTATATGGAATGACTTGGGAAGATTTTCAAGATTGCAAAGTGAGAAGTCACTGAACAATTTTCTAGTATTTATTAAAAAATAAAACGGATAGCAATCCTTCTCTGTAGCTAGATGGGAAGATAGATAGATAGATAGGTAGGTAGGTAGGTAGGTAGGTAGGTAGGTAGATAGAGAGAGAGAGAGGTAGAGAGGTAGAGAGGTAGATAGGCAGATAGGCAGATAGGTAGATAGGTAGATAGATAGAGATAGGTAGACAGATAGAAAGAAGATAGGGGAAGAAGAGAGAGAGAGATTAAGTTTTGGAGAAGAGTGTCTAAATGGTGTGCAGAGAAAGTTAATATCCAACCGATATATAAACATGAACAGTTATATCAACAAAATTCACATTACACAAATTCTAATTTTCTCTGTTTGAAATTTTTCATAATAAAAAGATAAGAATAGAGAATATGAATACAAGAAGGTATAGGAAAAGATCTAAAATAATAATACCTTCTGGAGATAAAAGTGGCTTGGGAAGAGGGGTGCAAAAGGGAAGAGACATCACTTTTACATGCTATAGACTTCTGTATTGTTTGATTTGTTTTTTAGTTATAAAATGTGGTCTTGTATTATTTGTGTAATTTTTAAAATAATTTAACAACTAATTTTAAAAATAAAAATCAATCTTCTTCTAATTAATGACCTGGAAGTTAAGGGTGTGGATCTCTAAGTTTTAAAAAAGTGTATCAAAAATATTTATAAAAAGACTCAAATGTAGGTAACATCATGGCAGATTTTTCCTTCACTTGTAGATTGGCAAGAGAGTAGAAATTGACATTTTTAAGGAACTTATGTGATCGATGGTTTCACTGAAGTCATTTAATACTCAAAAGGATTTTGTGCAATAGAAGTTCTTATCCTCACTTTTTTATATACTTGGAAATCTATGCTCAGAAAAGTTTCACAACTTTTATGTGCTAGGGCTGTGGTTGATACTGTCCAGTATACAAGTGTGACTCCGTTGTTTTGTGTAGTTCTGTTATTTTATGCTGTATCCTACTTGATTATGAATTTTCTTTTAATAGCAAGTATCCCCATTGTAAGATTGGAAATTTCTCTCTTCATATCCTCTTTTAATGAGGTCCCATCCGCCTCCCCAGAGGTAGGCAGCCATTGCTAAGTGTCTCATGAGTATTTTACTAGACCTTCAAAACTTAACAGTGATTTCATTGTCCTATTTCTTGATGCTATTTTGAAAAGTAAGATTGATTAATTATCCCAGAATTTTCCTAAGAAAGGGCTATGAGTGACTCAAAACCAAACCACCAGCTCGTATCCCAGTGGCTGACTTCTAACAGGACTGGCCAATTGGAGGACAGGTCGACGTTTTCCCTATGAAGTAAACCAAACAGATTCTTATGCTTGTTTGGAAGTAAAGCAATGGCTTATTCCTCACCCTACATTTCACCCTAGAACACCGTGAAGTTTGGAGTGAGGTGGAAAATTCTCTTTAAGACACTGCTATTTGCTAAACCAAAATTAAGCTAATGAAAGCAATGTATGAAAGGTATTAAAACTGTGTGAAGTCCTCTTGAGCATTATGGATGAAGGTAAGACCATGGTAAGGTCTTGCTTCATCCAGGAAAGAGAAACATTTTGCTAATTGTGTCATCACAGACAATTGCTTGGTTTGTATCAGGTTATAGGGGCCAGATCAGGGTGGAGGGTGTCCAGTCCTGTCACTCCAATCTCAGCAGTGCTGGAAGACCAGGAGAAAGGAGAATATTCAAGAAAGTTAAATAAAGCAGAGGAAAATGGTGAGAAAGGAAATAGGGTCGTCATCAAATAAGATATCCAGACTTCAAGGGTAACTTCTCATAGGCTGATGTGCCCTAAAGGATCTGTTTCAGGGCTGGGATACCCCGGAGAGTATCCTGGCCAGGATTATGCGGTCAAAAGTAAGGAGTTCAGTGTCGACTGTTGGTGGCACAAGGCTGTGGATACGTCATTGGAACTTCAATACGCTCAGTGGTGCAGCCTCCTCTTCCATTGCTTTTGCTGCCCTAGCTGATGAACACACTCTGTGCCGGTATTCCAACAAGAAGAGCTGCAGTCTTCTTTTGAGTTCTAGTCCATTTAATGCTGCCTGTTTAAATAGAGCAATACACTCATTCTTGATCCCCAAAGCAGTCGGGGCTCAGATTTTCAAACTCATCAGGAAAAAATTGAGGAAGAAGGAGTGATTTGAGATCAGGACTCTTCTAGCAATTCAGTTGTATTAAAATTGGAGTTAACCAATTGGGAGAGATGGAGTTTTGGAGGGGAGAGGGGCATCTAAATGGTGTGCAGGAAAAATTAATATCCAACCAATATATATACATAAAGAATTATACCAACAAAAATTCAAGGTACACAAATTCTTTCTAATTTTTTCTGTGTTTGTCACTTTTCTTAATAAAAAGTTGGGTAAATTAATTAATTATGCCTAATCCCTACCCTTGAAAAAAAATCTAGTGAAAGGATGACTTATAGTTCTACAAGTTGAGCACGTTAATTGCCTTCCATAGTCATTTATTCTGGGAAAAAACTACTTAGCCCCAAATTACTGAAACCTGTTACATTTTCCCTTCTAAAACTGTACTGAATCATTGTATCGTTTCTGCTTTCTTTTCATTTCCAAACCATCTGTTACTCAGTAGAAATTCATAAAGAACTTATATGCTGTAATGCTAATTTACTCCTGCCAAGGGTCTGAAAGCAGGTAAAAAATGAGCCTGGAGACAGTTCTTTTTGTTACCATTGAGTTGGGTTTTTATGAGAAGTTATACATGGGTGTTTCTGATCAAAACCAACTATGATATTGAGTAGTAACAAGAAGACTTTCTTCTAACTAGTTGTATAATCTTTCCTAAAGACTTTCTCTTTTCTCCTTTGTTTTGTTAGTCCACATTCCTATAAATGTGGCAGGAAAAAGAAAACCCAAGTTTCCAGCTCTCACCATGAGGCCCCCTCCCAAAGATGAAAGGAAGGCGCTATTCAGCAGGTTGATCCCCCCAAGGAACCGACGTGCCTTGCAGAGACATGTGTGTCCTGTTTCCGCTGCATTGAGCTGTGCAACTCCAGGTGTTTTTAATACTCTACAGACATTCAAATTCTCCAGAGTATTTTTATATAATGGATGAATTCAGATTTATAGTGCTATCGAAGTTTCTGGGAACACATAGTATGTGGCTGGTTTAGCAAAGAGCCTGTGGTGTGCACAGCTCCTCCTGAGGTTATTTCTTACATTGGAGCGTGTCTCTGACCCATTCGGTTACAGAGGGACAAGAGAAGCCCCCATCCGATACTCATGACAGCTCCATCAAGAATGCAGGACAGGCAAATCAAGGATCTGGGAAAAGCGTACAGAAATGGGTTCGGCAAATCTGATCAAGGAACTAAGGCTCTGAACTGGGTGTTCTGAAGAAGCCAGGGAGGATGAAGATTTGGGAATCTTGTTAATGAAGAGACTGAATCTAAGGACCTTGGGCCACATGGTTCTTTGCGTTCTCCTCTCACCTTGAACTTTGTAAGCCACTGTAGCATCTAGGGTTGCAGGCATGTTCAGACCTCGTTCCATAAATAAGAACAAATCCGCTGTACAGTTTGAGGAGTTGGCTTTATTATTTATAAAATCAGGTTTGGTCCTGAGAAGATTTAGGATAGTTTTGGTCTTCCTTTAGTGGACACCTCGAGCCACATATTTAGTTCTTTACTGAACAAAACCCATGGATTATGATTTCATGGGTCTTGGGATTTTAATCATAAAGGGTTGTTTATCTTACATTTGTGAGTTCAGTTCTACGATGGTTCCCACGGTCAAGAGTGAAAAACATGGATAGTTCTCATTCAATCTTGACACTTTTAACTTGTCTGGGGAGGAAGCTTACATTTTAATTAAAAAGTGGTCAATTATATCCATGCTTAAAAGAATTAGCACAAGCTTTATAAGTGACTTTATAGATACTAATAAGGGATTTGATATTTCTTTTTTTGTCACTGAGATTTTTTAAATGTGGAGCTTAAATACAAATATGCTTTTTCTGATGTTATATTTGTTATATTTTCAGGTTCAGTAAATATCTCATGCAGAATTTTGTAACGAATTATTTTGTGTGGATGGGCAAAATGGTCAACAAAGGGAAATCTTGCCAATGAGGAAGAAAATTCTATGTGACCACGACAATATGTACGATGTGTGTGCTAATTATAAATAAGGTTTTTAATCCTTAAACCACATCAGAATTGAATACACATGTTTATTTTTCAATGAAATAAACATGCCCTTTGAGGATGGAATGCTGCTTTACCCTTTATCCACACACACTTAGATCTTTGCTTTCTTTGCATTTCTCTTTGCTGTAAGATGACTGTTGCTCCTTGATACTATCACTTTTGACTTGTATTTTGAGTTGATATTTTGGTTCTGGTAACAATAAAAAATTTTAAATTGTCAAGAAAAATCAAAGTTCTTCCTTTCTCCTCCTTTTGAACACATATCCTTATAAAACACGATTCCCATGTGACTGCGTGCTGCGTACCCAGGCAGCCCATTAACCATGGAAATTAAGTGGTCTACCTTCAATATATGTTCGTTGTTCCTTTACAGGATCTTGGCACCATTCCTAGACTCAAATGTGACCCAGAATAACATTCAGACTTTTAACTGGTCTTGTATTACACTGCCATTGCCCGGTTCACTTCACAATGTGCAACCCTGCCCAGCGTCCCCTGTGCTGAGCTAAAGTCAAGTCGTCAGTAACAGATTTCATTCCCAAGAATAGAATTTGTTCTCATGACTCCCTATACATGTTGCAGCTTTGAAAACATTCATCTCACTGCCCGAAATAAAGAAATTAAAGATGTGAGTTAGCCATCTTTCGCTGACAGGGTAAATATATGGGTAACTTACTAGGACTTCTCTGCTCTCTCTGTGATCTTGCAGGCTTCTTAGTCATTTATGCAGCTACCCCTTATGAGAAAGAGCAAAATCACTTAAGTCTGTTAGAGTTACTCTATTGAAAATTGGTTGGATAAATAAAGAACATGAAAACAAAGAAGATCAAAAAAATTCAATCAAAGTAAGTACAGAGTTTATTTTCAACAAATGTCACAGCTGTGTTGCCTTATTATTACAGAATCCAGCAGTCCATGGACAGGAAAAGTTTATCCACAGTAATACTAAACAACGTTGAGGTTTGGCAGTAGATGGTAGCTAAGTACAATGTCTTAGTTTGATTACTGTCAATTATTTCTGAGCATGCTAAATTCCCTACCCATGTTCCAGCTTCTAGATACGTTGATGCTTCACTCTGTCTCCCATCCAATTAATTGTTTTTCATTGCTGTTTCAATCCAAGTAACAAACTTTGAAACACGAACATAGACACCAGGCTTATTGGGGCGTGCACAGCCAAGACCCCAAGAAGTGACTCCTTGTAAAATGTATTTGTCCTTCTCAAAGCAGACCAGAGGCCCTCCACTGTCACCCTAGACAAAAGAAGGGGAAAAGCCAGGTGAGGATTAAGCTGCTGTCCTTTGATTATGGGATGTCATCCTTCTATTATTCAAATCTAAGTTTTCCCAGTATTTGAACATTCCTCTCCCATCAGAAAGGAACTTATTCATACTATTTGAACATCTGCTACGCTCCAGTATTGAGCAAAGTATATTCAACAAAACAATACCTTTTAGTGCTTTTAGTGTTTCCTGGGTAAAAAACATCCCTTGTGAATACTATGCTTTGGGGTTTCTCTTAGGCAGGGTAACCCCAAGAACAACTGTAAAGGAGGTGCAGCTGGTCTTTGTTTTATAATCTCTCCCCTGTTCCCTACTGGGAAGGCCACCACCAGACCCCCATCCACCAGCACACTCCCGGAAGGTGTGTTGGCTGGGGCAGTGATGGTACTTAACCACTCCCTTACAACCAATGTGGGACTCAAGGCCCAAGAAATCACCGTAGATTATCTGACTCAGCATTCAGGGACAGGCCTAAAGGGTGTCTAGGCAATGTTGAGACTGTGGCCTTTGGCTGACAAATCCTTCTTGAATTTGCCATTTTGGGGCTGAAATGTGTAAGGCAGCAAGACAGGCCAGCACAAGATAAGCTTTGATGCCTTTCGTCTTTTCTTACCTGGCAACTGTCAGCACCTCCAGCCAGATGCCCAGCACAGAGCTCAGTTGATTTGACCTGTCCGTTCAGGTACTCATAGCGGTTGCACACTTTATTCTCAATCACAGGCAGCTGCGCTTCCTTGAGGAAGCCACGGCCATGGGTGCCTGTGTTTAAAAAGATGAAAGAAATGGTTACTGGATCTAAAAACATGTCCACGAGGAAACTTCCAGAACAACAGAGCAGCAATGATAGAGCCCTTGTTCGTTTACGAGGTTGGATGAAACAAGGAGTCCGTCCCCAACACTATTAGAATCCCTTTTTTTTTCTTTTTGACTTTGAAAGTATAAACATTATATAAGATTTCATGGTCCCAAGACCTGGATTTAATAAGCTGGGTTTCTTTATCGTATTTTGGGGTTTGTTTGTGCTGTTATTTTTTGTTTCTTCTTTCTTTTTTTTTTAAACTACAAAGAAATAAATTTTTAATATGTAAAGAGAAATTGAGAAATACTACTGCTACTATTTCTATATATTCTCTTTCAGGCATTTTATATGCTTCTTTTACTACTTATATCATATTGTACATTTTGTACCCTAATTTTTTCCACACAATGTTATATCATAAGGATTTTTTGTAATGCTACAATTTTCATAATTAATATTTTAATGGGGAGTGACAGCTTAATGGGTATGGGGTTTCCTTTGGTGGTGAAGGAAGTGTTCTGGAAATAGTGGTGATGGTTGCACAACATTGTGAATGTCCTAAATGTCATTGAATTGTACTCTTCAAAAGACTTAAAATAGTAAATTTTATGCTAAATATATTTTACCACAATATAAAACAAGAAGAAGAATAACTATCATTTGCTGAGAATTAACCTTTTCAGGCACAAGCTCATTACGTGGTGCATCTCATTTAATCCTTACAATAGTCCTATGAAATAGGCACTTTTGCCTTTCCTGTTGTACAGTTAAGGAAACTGAGGCTCAGAGAGGGTGTGTAGTTTGCCCAAGATCACCCAGCAAGTAAGTGGTAGAGCTGAGATTTGAACCTGAGTTTGTGACATCATTGCCCAAATTCTTCACTGCCATGCTTTTTGGCTTCACATCTTTGTTCATAAAGTTTATTCATATTCCTTAATATTTTCCTCAGTCTGAGTACCCAGAAATTATATATATATATTCATAGTTCCCAATGTTACTGCATAAAATTTGGGTCCTCTTGCCAAATGCGCATAAACAAGCCATTTAATTTCGGCATTAGCCTTTGGGAAAGAAATCAGCTGTATTCTGCGAGATTGATCTGCAGGGAGACAGGGGGCGTACGCCCTCAGATCTGTCTCCTCGATTTAGGATGTGAGGCAAAATCTAAGAAGTTAGGGAGAAGAGGCTGGCAGGTGGAAACGCTGGTGGGACAGGTCTTGATTGGCGGGCTTTGAGCATTTATGGTAAGGTTCTAAACATTTATGGTAAGGTGAGGAAGGAATTTTAACACCAGATCTTCCAGGATGACAGACCCCTCACTTCTTATCCGAGTCCAACTTTTAAGTTCCAGTTGTGTCCCAGTCCTTTGGTTCCATGGGGAGGAAAATCTTTGGTTCCGCGGTCATTTCAGGTCAAGGTTTCTTCTTGTGCACATGCTCTGGTTTTGTGACTTTACAAATTTTCTGAAAGACAATTCTTAATCACTCTGTTGATAAGATGGGTTCAGTTGAACTGGTCCTGGAGGGCCAGCGGTTACACCAATAACATTGCCGAATTATTTTCTAAAAGAGTATGACAGTATAAAATGTCACGAGAAAAAAAATCACTTCACTGCACCCTTCTGAGTATTTCATATTTTTAAATATTTGCTAATATAATAGGTGGAAATTGTCCTAATTCATTTCCTAATTTACATTTCTTTTCCAATTAGGGTGAGTAAACATTCTCCCGTGTATTTGTTTTACTCGTTGTATTTCTTCTTTTGTGAAAAACTGCTTCTTTCACTTTGGCAAATTGAAATGGAACACTTGCAAAATCACCAGAGGAAATGCTGTTTTCCCAGATGGACACACCCAGGTATGTCTCAGTGTTTTTACAAATAAACCAGTTTTCCAATTTTGCAAACCCAGCTTTCAGCAGAGTTTTGCAGAAATCTTTGCTTTGCTAGCATGGAACGGCCAAGAGATGAGGTACTATTTGTTCTCCAAAAACTTTGAATAAACTTGAATAATTGTCTTGAGTTCAGAAAACTTACAGTCAATCTGGAGTTGACAGGAGCACGGAAGAGGACCACCATTTGGAAAGGAGAGGCTTGTCCCAACCCTGGCTGGGCAGAGCCACTGTGGAGGAAGGGCCTGACCACAGAAAAGTTGGGCAGGGCGTGCATTCCATGAATTGAGTAGATGCATGGAGGGAGCAGCCATCTCAAAATATTTTGCTGAAAATTAATTTATTCAAGTGTCTTGCTCTTGCATCTGCTTTCTGGGCACATCCTGATGCTAGCGACAAATTCACTGCTAGTTGACTAGAAGTTGATGTGGTCTGTGCAGAGATGCTGCCATCCTGTGTCCACAGTAGAGATGGCGTTTCTGAGGGCCAAGAGGCTGAGGGTGGTCTAGGGACCAAAGCCCCGATGAGGCCTCTAGAGGGGAAGCAGGATCCCTAAGAGCGTCCAGGGATTGCTAATGAGGGGCTGACCTGAAAGAGCCCTGGGCCTCAGTGCTTAGCTTGCTTTGGAATATCAGAGTCAGGGAAAGTCTGGAGACTGAAGGAGGGAGCAGGAGAATTTTGACCTCACACC